TTGCAACAAATCTAGGGATTTTCATCCTCAAAAGCACTTGCTTGTGTCATCCTGGTACCTTGTAAACAAGAGTTTGTTTTCAGACAGACAGGTTAAAAAAACACCTCAAGGTTTCAGTGGGTCCTTAAGTCTTGATTTGATCAAATTTAAGGCAATCAAATGTCTCAAATAGTGTGAGAAAAGTCTTAATTATTTTAAGACGTCTTTAATTTGAAGATGGAAAAGTCGCTGCGATATAGGGTTGAGTCGATAGACGATGCCATCGTCCATCGCCTATGGCTGAAAGACATCACGATGTTGAGCCGGCATCATGATCTAGATATTTGTCAGTGGTGCTCAGTATCTGCAAATCATTCGCCATTGTCCTGTCAGTCATCTCTCCTTACTCTGTGTATGTGGTAAGTAGGCTTGCCGTGATAGACGGTGCTGACGGTGATACCGGTGTTAAGCCGCAACACCGGTTATGTCACTTTCCCACCGCGGCACCGACCCCCACCGTCGTTTTGATTTTTTATAGAAATAAAAATAATTTAGTTCAGTAAAAGAACAGACACTACAATTAAAAACTGAACGCGGCTGCTCAATGCAGCGTGCCGAACGACCGAGGTCCTGTGATAATATTAGTCCCGTGCGAATCGGCATCTCTGTGATTCGGCCAGCGTTTGGCGGGTTGCATATCATTTTTCTAGGTTTTTGTTTGCTGTGCACCTTTTTATCCATCTTTCGCGAAGAATGGAGCTGCGTTAATGTAACAGTTTACTGCTAGCAAGCAGCTAACCATGTCCCTTTAGTGGCTCCGTAAAAAGAATTGACTGTTTACGTTATGGTTTTTAAATTATAATATGTTGTAGATGGTTGTAGAGCCTAGGGCTGCCACTAACGACTATTTTTATTTCGATTAATCTATCGACTAAGTTATTGATTAATCGCTTAATCTAACCGATTAATTTCCCACAAAAAAAATCAACAATTTTACTTAAGAATATTTTATTAAACTATATTTTATTAAACCAAATGAAATCCAAATTTTTATGAAATCCTTTTTTTAAAGCAAAAGTAAAGTGCAACATAGAGTGCAAGAAGCAAGTGTCCATCTCATAGTCCAAATCACTGGACTACTGTGAACGGAGCCGCTGTGTGATGCACGTACTTAACCTATACGCATGTAAATAATTAAAGTGCATATACTGTATTAGAACTGCATCGAGTCAGAGTGCATATTTTATGTCTCATCTATTTGAATGAGCAGCTGGAAGTAGTAAAGCATAGACGTTTTTAAAATAAGAGTCCTGGTGTATTTTGGGCTCGTTTATGATTAAAAGTCCCTCATAATGCATAAAATCTTTTTTTCACCCTCCCTGGCTATTATTGGTATTTTGGCATTTAAATCAACGTAAACTCTTGTGGCTTCTCTCTGGACCATCCTGTCACAGGAAAGAAAGACTAAGAAAGACTCTGTACAATAATATTTATATTGTATTGGTTTGTTTTGTAATGGCATGCGGTATTAATTTTATTTGTGCAGGTCTTAAAAAAAGTCTTAAATTTGATTTTAAAACACTGCAGAAACCCTGCACCTGCCTCATTAGATTTGTCCTTACTAGATCAAAAAGTGTTTTCCAGTTTTGTGTGCAGATGCATGCAGCCATATGACCAGGTTAAACCAGATAAATCAGCTTTTTTTCCCCCTCCACCAGGGTTTTCTTGTTATAGCACAGCACCCTTATATTTATTCTTCAATTAAAATGTGATTCTTCAGTTTGTTATTTGAGCAGTAAGTGGGACAGTTTTTCTTGCTTCAGTTTTAAATTTGACAATTTTGCAATAAGGCATTTTGTCACAATACTGGAATCTTATTATAATTACTAGAGTTTTTTTAGGTAGAGGTAGTCTTGCTGTTATTTAGGTTAGCAGTGTAGATGCAGTGAAATTTGATGCAATTTTGTTTCAGTTTTGTTACTGTGTTCACCACTTGATGTCCAGTGCAAAATCTGGGTCCTGAATCAAAACCAGTTGAGAACCAGTTATTTAAAGTATCTTCATTTCTTATTTCTTTAAAACCCTCCTATTGCATTTGGGTCAGTTATGACCCAGAAGAGGTACATAAAAAAGGAAAGAAAAAGAAAGAACAGAACTTGGGTTAAATGGGCTTAACATTATCAAAATAAACATCAATCCTTTTTTTTTTTTTTTAATGTGTGTTTTTAAAAATGCTTTAAATTGTGTTCCGGTCCGTTTTGACCTGGCTATCAGCTGAAGCGTTACACATCATGTAATTCGCACTTTATCCATTTGCTGTATTTGACTCGAAAACACTTGAAGTAAAATATATTTAGCCTCTGAAATCTCACACACTTTTAGTACCGAATTTTGTAGCATAAATATGCATGCACAAAGCCGCTATAAACACATGAAAAGTCTTCTTATGGTTCATAGATCAAGGCAAACCAACCCATGTGTCTTTGAGTGTGTAACAGTGATTCAGCATGACGACAGAATTTGCTGCTCTATAGCCGTATTTATCAAGCCAGATTGGAGAGATGGGTGGTATAGAGAGAGTCTGTGACGGGAGATGGGTCTCTCTCTCTCTGACTTGCTCACACACACCACAATACTGCAGCTCCATCCTCCTTCCTCTGATTGAAACCATGGCAGATGGAGTGCAGCAAATTGGAAGGCAGAACGGTGCTGATCCGAAGCTTGCCTTTTCTCTCTCTGATAAAAATATTAATTTTCAGCTTGGGCTCAAGCCGCTGATCGGGGGCACGCATGTGCTGCTGGGATGATGAAGGCTTTGGAAAGAGAGCCAAAGGTCCATGTCCACTTGAAGCCTCTCAGAAGTTCCTCACGGTATCCTTACCTGCCCCTGCTCAGAAAATGAAAGCAGAAACAGTGGAATGGAGAAGAGAATTAAATTATTTTAGAGGCACACTCTTTTTTTTGTCACTGTCTCTCTGTCCCCATGCTTCTGTTCTACTTTGTATTTTCCAATTTACCTTCTTGCACTGCCCTGAGCTGTTTTACAGACTAGTTCAGAATGCTGTATATGTAGTCTTTCAGATAAACAATGTTCTCCTGGTGTTGCAGGATTGTGTTTTATTGAGCTGGAAGGTGGACAGTCTCTCTCAGTCTCTGTGTAAGAGTTTTGCCAATCAATGGGTTTTGGGCTGTGCTTTGGTTTCTGCATTTGGGTTTGGGTTGAAATTAATGAACCAAATAATAATATAATCATAATTATTTTATGCTATACTTGTTTTGTACTGAAAATGAAATCTAAAACAAAATCAAAAGAAAACAATCACTTCCAGGTCTGTTTCGGTCTTAAAATTTGACAAAGTCAGTTGGGTCAGATCAGAAATCATGAAAGAACCGCTCACCCAAAAATGGAAATTCTGATGTTTATTTATTTCCATTTTTTTTGCTTTCATGGAATGCAAAAGACAGCGTTTTCAAGAATGTTCATAGAATGTAGGCATTTAGTGATCAGTAAAAATATTCCTTTCTGCCAAAGCTCTCAGTCTCATTCAGTGTAATGCCATGTTGTCATCCGTATTGGTGTTTGACTCATTGACATCAAACCTGGTGTGATGCATCTTTACACCACAAGTTTGAATATGGAAATTATTTATTTTGGTTACATTTTTTAGCCTTTTTCACCTGTTGGAGAGCACAGTGAAGCAGCGACAAGAAGCAAAAGGGAGAGGACCACAAGTTGGGAACCGAACTCAGGTCGCCCAAGGTGCAACTTCACCACATGCCATAGTGCTACCCACAAGGCTTCAGCTCTGAATGATTTTTGAGAGCTATGGCATAAGGGAAGATTAGCAATGAATAATACCTTCAATTTTATCCTGTTCCTTAAGGGGTGGTCACATTTACTGTTGTTCAGCAAATTTTCGTGGGCGAAATCCAGTCATTTCAATAGCAGTCCACATGAACAAGAATTTCCGTATGCAGATTCGTGGCCATGAGAATTTCAGCTTCACAGCAGCTGCTTACAACTGCTTGGTTTTAATATTCATAAAAACCTCTTTGTATCCCTGTGCATATACAACACTATGCTTTTTATTCTGAATCACCCTCAGTTGTTTTTTCTCTTGTACCTTTTCCTTCTGTCATGTATCTCTTGTCTTAATCACTTTCTCACCTTTTGTCTTTCTGTCTTTCTCTCTGTCTCTAAAGTTAACTTAAGTGAAAGCGATGGCAGTGATGCCGAGCTCAGTGAATGCAGCAGTGACAGGAAGACCTTCATGTCTGAGACAGATCAAAGAAGAGATTCCGGTAATACACAACTCCTAAAAATTCACAGCTGAATATACACGGACACTCCCCACCCACCCACACAAACTCTTACAAACTAATACAACTCCATCTGTCAGATCTACCACATTTCACAGAAAACAAAAATCCCCCTAAAGCTTAGATTTGTTTGTTTTTGCAGCTTGATTGCCTTTATAATGGCTTTGTTTTACTAGTGTGCCCAAAGTGGATTATAAAATGAAAGACTGTTTCCCTATAGGTTTCCCAAAAATACTCCCATCTTCAGCTTAAATTTTGAATATGAATTTAGAGGTTTTTTTTTTCTGTGCACTCAGAATCGAGTGGAGGCCAAGTGCAAACACCTCTGCAGTCCAACATCACCAGTCCAACTCAAACCAGCTTTCACATGGAAAGCCCTTCCAGCGTGGCCAGCGAGCAAAGAAGTAGCAGTTTCAATCCGGGTCTGGAGGAAGAGGTCATGGACCATAGTCGACCTTTACTAAGTGAGTGCCCACATGCACATTTGCTTAGCTACCTAAATGGGGAAATTCCATACTCCCATCTTCAGCTTAAATTTTGAATATGAATTTAGAGTTTTTTTTTTTTTTTAAATTGTGAACGTCTTTGTGCACTCAGAATCGAGTGGAGGCCAAGTGCAAACACCTCTGCAGTCCAACATCACCAGTCCAACTCAAACCAGCTTTCACATGGAAAGCCCTTCCAGCGTGGCCAGCGAGCAAAGCAGTAGCAGTTTCAATCCGGGTCTGGAGGAAGAGGTCATGGACCATAGTCGACCTTTACTAAGTGAGTGCCCACATGCACATTTGCTTAGCTACCTAAATGGGGAAATTCCATAGACTTCTATTGTTTTTTTTATGTATATATACAGCTTGTTATAAATACCATAACCTAACACTAACTGTAACATAAAACTTTTTTACAATTGGGAAGCCCCCAGAAGAAGGTTTTGTCACATTTGGCTCACTCCTGGGCACAGATATGTCCCCAAAATATGTTTATGTGCATACACACAAACACTCGCACACACTCGTCTTTTCCCCTTAGAGCCAAGTAACACTGACAGCTGTACACTAAATAGGGTGGTCTGTCCTCTGTCCTCTTTTGAAATACTCATACTAAAGGAGGGATACGCCTTTTTGTCAGTGTTTGCTAATTCAAGTTATCACTATTACTATTGCTCATACTTTTTTCAAAACCTTATTACCTGCATTGAAGTGGAAACTGATCCATATCTAAGGACCTTGGTGTGGGCTCTTTTGACTTGTGCTAGTAAGCAACTACCCAGAACAGCTTAGCAACCTCATAGCAACATTTGGATTGGATGCATTGTCACATTAGACAATGTATTAATAAACAGAGTAAGGAATGTCAGGTGATCAAACACTCTTAACAAAAATAAAGGTTACAAAAGTGGGTTTTCGCAGTGTTGCCGTAGATGAAACATTTTGGGTTCCCAACGAACATTTCAGTGAACAATTCCCAAATAAAACCTTTTTTAATTTTCTTAGTGTAAAGAGCATTTTAATACTCTAAATACACTTTTTACCCTAAAGGTTCTTGGAACCATAGATGCCAATGCCAATCCTTTATTTTTAAAATTATAGTAGAGTGCACATAATCAAAGTTTCTTTTTTTGACCAAGAGCAAATTACTTTTGCATGTGTCTGTCATTATTTGCTGCTTCATTGTCCACCTCTGTATATCTTTCTTCTCTGCCTTAAGGAGCTTAAATTCCCACTTTCTCTGGTTAAAAAAAAAACAAAACAAAAAAACAAATAGCCCTCATTATTCCAATGATATTGTGCATCTTGCTCGAGCGCTCTCCAATTTGTACCGCTTACTTTCAGAGATAAGAACCCCTACACACAGGCTTCGGCAAGCTTAGCATGAGGTGTGATATCTTCCTGCCCTCTGTGTTAATGATAAAACGTTCAAATGTCAATGCACGGAAACATAATTAAAGCCTTTTACTGTCATAGTTATGGGCTGAGCACTGAAGTTCCATGTCCCTGCTGTTTTTGTTGCCATTTCTTTTATAATTCTTCTTCTGGCTGGGAGTCTATAACAGCCCTCAGAACGGTTTGCAGAAAAGTTATCAAATTTGGCACATTGATTGTGGTGGGTCTGAAAGTCCCCTGACTCATTTGTGGGTCTCTCAGTCAGAGCCTTTAGCAAAACTAGAAGTTTAAAGTTTCTTCTGCTTCAAACTTTTAAAACATTTGGTCTAATAACAGAATTCTTCCTTGGCTTTCTCTCTTCATCTTGAGTTAACTGAATCATGTGTTTTCATTTCTCCTTCAAAGCATGTTCTTCACATGATGTTCAGACTAATGTTCAGAATCTTAAAAGCATAGTTAATCCAAAAAATATATTTACTTCCCCCTCATGACATTCCAAGCCTATGACTTTCTTTTTTCTGAGGAACATAAAAGAGGATATTTTGAGAAATGTCTCAGTGTCCATACAGTGGAAGTCAGTGGTCACCAGAAATGTTTAGTTACCAAACATTTTTCAGAATATTTTCTTTTTGTGTTGTGCAGAAGAAAGTCATATAGTTTTAGAACAGCTTGTGGTTGAATTATTTTTGAACTATGTTCATGTTCTTGTGTAGTAATTTTTTTTTTTTTTGAAGAATGTTCATTTTTGAACTAGGAATGTTGTGTAAAGTATCTGTAGCTCCTTGTTCATCTGTGTAGTTTGATGATTTTAAAATGTCTCCAGCCATGTTAAAACTGCATTAACTCCCTAAGGGATTTTAATATCATCTGTAAATTTTGTGTATCCCAACAGGTCTTGTTTGTTTACAGTGAAGGCGAAATAAGAGGATGCAAATGTTCCTCTGAGAGCCAAGCAGCATTTATAACAGCCTGGCCTCTGTTTGTCGTTAATCACCTCATGTAATGTGCAGGCGTGCAGTCACCATGCACTCTCATTCATTTTCATTCAGCTTTGTTTGCTAGCCAGCTATAGTCATAGCCAATGAGGCTGTGGAGATGTTCTCTCATCCAAGGTCAGGCCTGTGACTTTTTGCTTAAACCTACAGAACCCCACACAACTTGCAAAAAATAACTAAATAACTAAACTAACTAAATAAATAAATAAATTAAATAATAAAATTAAATAAAAAAATATTTTTTTAAATTGTGGCCATGAATTAAGAATTTATCTAACTATTTATTAATTTGGCCCCTCGTTTTAGTTAAATAGTGGCCACAAAGTAATTCAAAGATTTATTTTTCTAGTAAAGGCATTTAAATTGTTACAAAACATTTCTGTTTCAAGTAAATGCTGTTATTTTTTAACATTTTATCAAAGACTTCTGAAAAAAAAAATCCACAAAAATATTAAGCAGCACAACTGTTTTCAACATAATAATTATACAAAACGTTTCTTGAGCACCAAATCAGCATATGAGAATGATTTCTGAAGGATCATGTGACACTGAAGACTAGAGTAATGATGCTGAAAATTCAGCTTTGCCAAATTACACTTAAAATTATTGCTGGGCAATGATTAAGCGATTAATATATGTGTGTGTACTGTGTATATTTATTATGTATATTTCAATACACATACATACATTATATATTTTAAAAATATTTACATGCATTTACATGTATATATTTATATTCATATAATTTATATTATATATAAATATATTTAATATATAAACATAATATATTTTTCTTAAATATATACATGCATGTGCGTGTATTTATATATACATAATAAATATACACAGTACATACTAATATACTATGTAAACAAAAGCTTTTATTTTGGATGCGATTAATCATGATTAATCGTTGCCCAGCACTACTTAAAATATATTAAAATATAAAATAGTTATTTTAAATTGTAATATTTGACAATATTACTGTATTTTTGATCAAACAAATTAAGTATTGGGGAGCATAAGAAACTTCTTTTCAAAAACATAAAAAATGGTAAGTAATATAAAAATGCCATGTTAAGAACATTGTTTTCAGCTGCTAATTTAAGTGTATAGCTGTCTTTGTCACATAGATGTATAGAATTTACAGTGTTTGCAGGAAGAACTCCCATAATACATGTGTTTCTGATATTGTTGCTGCTTTCTTCAAACAGCCACCAGTATTTTAAGATCTAACAGCTTTTATCACACCGTATGATAAATCTGAAATGTCAAATGATTTACACTGGCTCATAATTGGATGGCCGATTCCTCTCTTCTCTGACATGTAAAAGCTCTCTGTAAACAAGCACCATCAAATGCATAATACATGCATATTTTTATAGGTGCTATGGTAAGATGGTCCTCTGAACAATACATGTAAATATCAATTCTCAACATTTTAGTGACCCCAACATTGTGTTTTAAATGCCAGGTAAATACACCATTCATATATACCATTTTTAAGTGGAGATATGGAATACTGGAAAGATGTTTCCCTGCTTGTTTTAAGATCTGTGATACCATTTTTTGAGATGTTCACAGATATATGTACTCACTGCGCATTATTTTTAACAATAATAACACGTTATTTTAAACATTAAGGGTAGTATGGTTAATTTTCAGTTTAAAATCTCCTTTAAAATCCTGAAGCAGCATCACAGAATGTGATGTATTAGCATAAAACATTTAATTGAATGAAAAAGGGCACAAATGAAATCATAGTGCATAATTTTCACTTCATTAAAATTGTAATAATAGGAATTTCATGTTTTTCAGGTTCATAATTTTAGACCTATAAATTGTGAAAAAGGAGCCCATATGAACCTGAATCTAAATTAGCACATGCGACTTACAAATGAGGACAATAGAAGCAATCAAAACTAACAAAAGAGCAACAATATGTAAGTGCAAATGACAAGTCTCGGTTAGCCTAACGCAGTACACATAGCAAGGTTTTTTTTTTTCACACACAAAGAAAAACAAGTAAATAGAATCGAAAAAATAGAAAGCTTCTTTAGAAAGTTTTTTTTAAATATAAAAGAAGATAAAGTAGAATTAAAATAGAACAGAGAGTGCTAGAGTTAGAGAATCAAATAAAGATGGAACAGATTTTTATTAAATTTTTTTTGGAAAAGAACATTTACCCATCCAAGTTCACACACACAACAGTGAGTAGTGAACACACACATACACCGTGAACACACACTCGGAGCAGTGGGCAGCCATTTTTGCTGCGGCGTCTAGGAAGCAGTTGGGGGTTCGGTGCCTTGCTCAAGGGTCTTACCTGTCGTGGTATTGATGGTGGAAGAGAGTGTGCATTCACTCCCCCCACTTACAATCCCTGCCGGTACTGAGACTCGAACCCGCGATCTTTGGGTTACATGTCCAACTCTAACCATTAGGCCATGACTGCCCCCATCACACTGATTGTGTGAATTTGGCCATTCAAAAAAGCACATATAGCTGTAGCATTGAGTTCTTGATTGATTGAGTTGATTTTAATTTTGAGGCTAACTCAATAACTCTTCATCTGCTCTGACACCCAAAGCCATTCTTTACCGCTCACCCGACACATCACTTCATTGAATCTACCTTGACATTTCTGCATTTTGATTCTTTTCATTTTCTTTCCCACTTAGCTGCTTGCGTTCATCATCCTTGGCTCAATTGAGAGTCATCACTCTCTATTATTTCTATGTAGATGCACAAAAGACCAAACTATGCACATTGGCAGAGGCTCTAAAAAATGATGAATGATCAGTGGAATTCACTGTGAAAGGGAAACATTCACTTCTGCATGGCTGGACATTTCACTCAAGAGTTTTTGTAAATTATACTGTTTTGCTCC